CCCTGCATTTCACTTGCGTTCCCCCCCCCCCCCCCCTTTCGCCCTACCTGGCACGCAAATAGGCTGCTTACTCGCCTGGTCAAGGAGGTCGGCATTGGTCGGTGGTCGGCCATCCTGCGGAAGGGGCGCCGTGCCACCGACGGCGAGGAGGGCTCCACCGCATCGCGAGCTTCCTCCGCTCCGCCCGGGGCGGAGGCCACTGCCACGGGCAGCTCCTCCACCACCGGTGCTGCCACCGATGCCAACGCCAACCCGGATGATCGGTCGGTCTACTTCCACCCTCGGCGGACATCGGCCGATCTCAAGGACAAGTGGCGCATCATCAACCGCACCGCCAAGTCCTACTCCGAGCGCGGTGCGTGCCCGTGGGGGGGGGGGGGGGGGGATCTCCCCCGGCGTTGCTCTTCTCTCCCTGCCTATTTGCTTCCACCTCGCCCCCCATATATCTTGGCTGCGCTGACATCTTTTGCCGTTCGTCCTCCCGTATGCACGCTCTGCCCCTCACCACCTGCACGCATGTGTGTGTAGAGATGCGCCAATTCATGCTGCTCGACGAGAACCACCTCCCGCTGTCCACCCCTCGTGGCCACCGCCATGTCTTCCGCAACCGCTTCCCTCGCGATGCGGCCCTCAAGGCGGCCACTCGAAGCTACTTTTACAACGAGGACTCCGGTATGTTGTTTGTGGTCTTTGTCACGCCCTGCCGGCCCCCCGATCCTGACTTCCCGCCTGCCTTTGCTCCCCCCCCCCCTCCCCATGCTCACTATCCGTGTTTGTGTTCCTCCCACTTCCGATCGCGGATCACGCATGCAGACTACACCATCATCTATGTTCGGGAGATCTCGGTCGTCCAGAAGCCGAAGTCCTTTGCTGGTGGCGCCGACGGCGCCGGAAGCGAGGGGGCCACCGGCGACGAGCTGGTTGCCGTGGCTTCCAACAGCCAGGCCGATATTGTGGCGCAGGAGCGCGACCGCCGCCGCCGGTCGTATGTGCATGTCTTCCGTGGGACACGCACGCGTGAGCGCGTGGCCGACATTGTCCGCTTCCGTCGCAGTGCCGACCGGGTGCGCCTCTCGCTCGCTCCTTCTCCACCGACTCTCGTTCTTCCTCTTGCGTGCCTGGCTTTTTTCCAGGGCCCGAGAGAAGCGATTGTCCTTTGTCTCCTGTGACAGCCGCCCTGTCTGACACCGAGGTTTACACCCCCCCCCTCCCCCCCTCCCCCTCTTTCTCTCCCTCGTCACTCGCGGCACAGATGATGTGGGTCGGCCATGTCACCAAGCTCCGCGAGGAAAAGTACCTCCACTGCACGGATTCGCGCACGGCGACGCCGCCACTTAGCGACAAGCGTCTGCCGGCTCCGCCGCCGGCCGCCCCGCCGGCCAGCGATCGGTCCATCGAGCAGCTCAACCCCTCGGCGCCGAATGGTGTGCTCGGCGGCCCGGGCGCCAGTGGCAGCCAGCTGCCGGTCCCGATGCTGGCCAGTGATGTGGTTCGGCTGATGTCGTCCATCGATGCTGGCGGGGCCGGCGGCGCTGGCAATGGCCCGGGCGGCGTGGTTGTCGGCCCGCCTTCGCACTTGGTGGCCCAGCTGCAGCAGCTCCACCATCATCACCACCCGCATACACACACCGGGGCCCTTCAGGGGCAGCTGGTCACGGCCAACGGCCAGCAGCTCCATCTGCCGGCCATGCAGCAGCAGGCATCACAGCAGCAGCTCCAGGGAGCTGGGCTGATGGCCACCAGTCATCCGCACCTGGTCGGCGGCCATGCCCTGCACACCATGCAACAGCAGCAGCAGCAGCAACAACAACAGCAGCAGCAGCAGACCAGTGCCGGGGGCCAGGGGCACCATTTCCCCTTGCAGGCACAGGCGTCCTTGTCCGGGCACTTGGTGGCCGGTGACAACTCGGCGGCCATGATGGCCAATGCTGCCATGATGGCCGCTGACATGTCGCGCTTTGGCAACAGTGCTCAGCAGCAGCAGCAGCAGCAGCAGCAGCAGCAGCAGCGCCCCTCCACCGGTGGTGGTGGCAGTGGCCTGCTGGACATGGGTGGCTCGCCGGCCGGTGGTGCCGGTCACGGCGGCCATCCCAATCTCTCTCTCTTCAACGGGCCGAACTGGCTGTCGACCATCTCGCAGCATGGCAACACGTCGGCCGAGGCACTGTCTCTCCTGTCGCCAAATGGTGGACAGGCGGCCAATGGGAATCTTCTGTCCTCGCATCTGGCCGCGGTGGCGGCGGCGGCGTCATCCAACGGCACGGCCGGTGATGGGTCCGTTGTGATGGGGCGCCACATGCAGCAGCAGCAGCAGCAGCAGCAGCAGCAACACCACGGCCCGCAGCACATCGCGCCCCGGCATGGTGGCCCTCCCGGGCAGCAGCAGCTCCAGCAGCCTGGCCACGGGGGGCAGGTGCACATCCAGCAGCTTGGCGATCAGCAGGCCCTGTCTTCGCCACAGCAGCAGCAGCAGCAGCAGCAGCAGCAACAGCAGCATGATGACTACCACCTGACGCCGCTGCATGTGCAGCGCCTGCAAAGCCAGCAGCAGCAGCAACAGCAGCGCCAGCTCCAGCAGCAGCGCCAGTTGCAGGCCCAGCAGCAGGCCCAGCTCCAGCTCCAGCAGCAGCAGCAGCTTCAGCTTCAGCAGCAGCAACTTCAGCAGCAGCAGCAGCTCCAGCAGCAGCAGCTCCAGCAGCAGCAGCTCCAGCAGTTCCAGCGCCAGCAGCAGGCCCAGGCCCAGCAGATCCCGCTGTATCATGGCGGTGGCCATTATGGCGGCGGCGGGAGTCAGCAGCAGCAGCCGCCGCCACCGCAACAGGGCGGGCTCTATGAGCAGGCCCAGCAGTCGCAACATTCACAGCAACAGCAGCAGCAGCATCACCAGCAGCAGCAGCAGCAGCAGCACCACCACCAGCAGGGCGCCTATGGCAGCCAGGCCGGGCTTGCTCTGCACCAGGGCGGTGCAACCCCCCAGCAGCAACAGCACGGTGGCTTTTCCCTGATCAACACCTCCAGCCCCTCGGTCAATGCCATCGAGGCCACCCTTGCCGGTGGCGGCGGCGGCGGCGGCGGCGGGGCCAGCCACTCGGACGCGGCCAGCCTGATGTCCGTGCGCTATGGCGGCCTGACGCAGCAGTCGCTCATGGGCTTGTCGGGTGGTGCTGGCGGTGGCGGCGGCGGCGGTGATCCGGCCGGGGTGCTTTTGCGCCTCCCTCAAACTGGCGGCGCCACCGGGGGCGGGGACATGCCTCCCTCGGCCATCCCCAACTCGGCGGTCTTTGCGGCGGTCTTCCAGAACAACAACAACATGCCCACCGGGGCTGGCGCCGGGTCGGTGGCCGTGCAGCCTCAGTCGCTGGCTGGTGCGATGGCCACCACGGCCTCCTCCTCCTCGTGATGGGCGCGCGCGCGCGCGTGAGTGTGCATGCGTGTGTCAGTGTGGGGCAGTGTGGGGCAGTGTGGGGCAGTGTGGGGCAGTTGGGTGACGTGCCTGCCTGTGCCTCTTGCTCCGCGCCCCCTGCCCCTTTCCCGCGCCGCCTCTCTGTCTCTTCTCCCTCGTTCCTTCTGTGCACGCGAGTGTCGGCGGATTCTCCCTCCCTCCCTCCCTCTCTCTCTCTCTCCCTCCCTGCGCGTATGTGGTGCTCCTCTTCTTCCTTGTTTGGCGGCCTCATGTGAACCGCCTGTCGTGTCACTGTGTCGTCCCCTCCCCCTGCCTCTTCCCCTCTGCCTGCGCCCCCTTAGACCTCCCATCCATCCCCCTGCGTACAGGGGATGTTGGTGAGGGGGAGCGTTTGCGCGCGCAGTGCATACACACACACACGACGCAAGACGGGTGGGCCCGCACGCATCCACGGAGAGAAGCAAGCATCCCGGCTGCCAAGGGCCGGTGAGATTGGCGGGCTAGAAGGCGAGAGACTGCCGTGGTTGGCAGCCTGTCTCCTCTTTCCCTCCCTCTCCCCTACTTTTGCCACACATGCACCTCGCGGCTCTGTGCCGTGTGCCCTGTTCCTTGTCCTTTGTCTCCTCCCCACTCGTCTGGCTCCCTCTCTCCCCCCTCCTCCTCCTCTTCTTCTTCTTCTTCTTCTCTCTCTCTCTCTTGCCCCCAAATCACCTCTGGGCACATCTCCTCCCCCCCCCTCCTCTCTCCCCTGCCTAGTGCCCCCTTATAGATCTCGCACCTTGGCGGGGGTCCTCTGGCCCGGCCTTCTTCCCTTGATACATGCCGTGCTGTGACTTGCCGGTCGCCAAAAGATGAAACAAGAAAAAGGGCGAGGGAGGTGCTTTGCTCTCCCTCCCTCCCTCCCTCCCTCCCTCCCTCCCTCCCTCTCTCTCTCTCTCTCTCTCTCTCTCTCTGTCTCTCCCCCTTGCCTGTGGCTTTCCCCGATGAGAAAGCCCCAAACAGGGGCCCACCTGGCCGGCAAGTTGGCAGGCTTCGCGCACATCGTGCGCTGCCTTCTCCTTTCCCCTGTTGGTGATGAGCGCATCCCCCCCCCCTCTTTTGTCGGGGGGAACGTGTAGAGAAAAAGCACATCGCCAACCTCTACCATAAGAGCAAGGAAGGATGTACGCGCATGTGTTGTTTTTCCCTCTCTCTCTCTCTCTCTCCCTCCCTCTGTTCCTCTCTCTCCCCCTCTTCTATAGACATTTTCGAAGCCTGCATTGCCCCTCCCTGGTGTACTTGCGTTGGTGTGTGGATGTTTGTTTCCCTCGTCTCCTTTTGCGGGAGGGGGCGGCGGGGCGGATGAGCTCTCCCCTTCCGTGGCTCTTTTTTTT